TAGACTGCATTAGCTAAGGACTACTCAGTCCACAAGTACTTGTCCCAGCTGACCTTTTTTTTTTTTTTTTTTGAGACAGAGTCTTCCTTTGTTGCCCAGGCTAGGAGTGAATGCCATGGCGTCAGCCTCGCTCACAGCAACCTCAAACTCCTGGGCTCAAGCAATCCTGCCTCAGCCTCCCGAGTAGCTGGGACTACAAGCATGCACCACCATGCCTGGCTAATTTTTTCTATATATATTAGTTGGCCAATTAATTTCTTTCTATTTATAGTAGAGACAGGGTCTCGCTCTTGCTCAGGTTGGTTTCGAACTCCTGACCTCAAGCAATCCGCCACTCAGCCTCCCAGAGAGCTAGGATTGTAGGTGTGAGCCACCACCTGACCATTTTTTATGAAATGTCACTTCCCTTGGGTACTTGACTCCATCCTTGCTCCTTCCCAGCTACACCTCTCTGTTACTTAACATCTTAACATGAAAAGATTGTGAACTCATAGGCCTCAGGACTAGGCCCCCTGATCTTTTACTTGCCACTTTTCTCAGGTGACCTCATCCTCTCCACTGGCTACTATTCCCTTGGTCAAGCCACTGCTTTTCTCCCCCCCTTTCTTGTTGAGACAGGGTCTTTCTCTGTTCCCTAGGCTGGAGTGTAGTGGCGTCATCATAGCTCACTGCAACCTCAAACTCCTGGCCTCAAGTGATCCTCCTGGCCTCAGCCTCCAGAGTAGCTGGACTTACATGTGCATACCACCAAGCCTGGCTAATTTTTTGAACCCTGACCTTGAGTGATCTGCCTGCCTTGGCCTCCCAGAGTGCTAGGATTATAGGTGTGAGCCACCGTGCCCGGCCTAATTTTTCTATTTTTTGTAAGATAGAATCTTGCTATGTTGCTCAGGCTGTCTCAAATTCCTGGCCTCCTGGTGATCCTCCCTCCTCAGCCTCCCAAAGTGCTAGGATTACAGGTGTGAGCTAGCATGCCCAACTAGAGGTCTCTTTTTCAAAGCAACCTGTACTACCTTGTAGAACTAAACATACTTTTTTTTTTTTTTGAGACAGGCATCTTGCTTTATTGCCCAGGCTAGAGTGAGTGGCGTGGCTCAGCCTAGCTCACAGCAACCTCAAACTCCTGGGCTCAAGCATCCTGCTGCCTCAGACTCCCAATAGCTGGGACTACAGTCATTTGCCACCATGCCCGGCTAAATTTTTCATATATATTAGTTGGCCAATTAATTTGTTTATTTATAGTAGAGATGGGGTCTGGCTCTTGCTCAGGCTGATTTTGAACTCCTGAGGCTCAAACGATCCACCTGCCTCGGCCTCCCAGAGAGCTAGGATTACAGGCATGATCCACGTGGCCACTTTTAGTAATTATATATTGTCCTTCTGCTTCCTGAGCACCCAGTGGAGCACATAGTACAGGACTAAATTGAGTGTTGCCATAAGGGAGCAAAGTGCTTTTAGGGAAGAGAGATGTGGGGTGTAGGGGTCACAGGTGGCCTGGGTACACCCAGATTTACCCAGATATGCAGGCTGGTAATCTCATTCAGAAGTCAGATTTGAAGTCTATAATGATCCTCAAGAAGTCCTGGCCCCATTTGAGTAGAAAATTCTTACAATAAACCAATATTTGCTGATGAATATCATATGTCAGGTCCTGTGGGCCCTGGGATAGCTAGACTCAACTTCTGGTAAAGCAATAGTCACTCATCAGATGCAATCGAGACTCCCAGGAGTTCTTAGAGGAGGAACATAGGTAGAGTAGGACCCAAAGGTGTGGACAGTCCTGCCTGCATCACCAAGTGGGACTCAAAAGCTGAGGTGTGACAAATGAAATATTGTACTATTCTGGAAACTTCTAATTCTCTCCTTTTATAAAAATTAAAAAAAAAAAAAGAAATATTTTACTGTTTTGTTTTTTTTTTTGAGACAGAGTCTTGCTTTGTTGCCCAGGCTAGAGTGAGTGCCATGCCATCAGCCTAGCTCACAGCAACCTCAAACTCCTGGGCTCAAGCAATCCTTCGGTCACAGCCTCCCAGTAGCTGGAACTACAGGCATGCGCCACCATGCCCAGCTAATTTTTTTATATATATTAGTTGGCAATTAATTTCTTCTATTTATAGTAGAGACCAGGTCTCATTCTTGCTCAGGCTGGTTTCAAACTCCTGACCTCGAGCAATCCGCTCACCTCGGCCTCCCAGGGTGCTAGGATTACAGGTGTGAGCCACGGCACCCGGCCTGAAATATTTTACTGTTAAAAAAATTATATATATATATATAAACAAAATGGGAAAAAATAAAAATGCTGAAGTGGGCCAAGGCAGGAGGATGCTTAAGTACAAGAGTTGGAGACTAGCCTGAGTGAGACCCGTCTACTAAAAATAGAAAATTAGCCAGGTGTCTTGTCTCACACCTGTAATTTCAGCTACTCAGGAGGCTGGGGGCTAGGTATCACTTGAGCCTGGGAGTATCTCACTTTGTTGTAACAGAGCCTTGGGATGACTATCACGTGTCCTGGCAGTGGGAGAAACCCAGGGATAGGAGCCAGATTTCCCATATAGGAAAGCGTGGATCCCACATGCCGCAGACAAAAAGACAAGAAGTTCAAACTTGGCTAGAATAAGGGGGAAGAGGAGACTAAGCTCCCACCCCCAGTAGATACTGACACACGACATACACACAGTACTGTTGCCATCCAGCACTTTATTAATGAGGAAGCTCGCCTTGGTCTGGCAGGGGGAGGCTGGGAGGGACAGCACCAGCGCCCATCTCTGGGGGTTTTCCCGGACATCAGGTGCTCCTTCATGCAGGTTTGGAGGGAGCACCATCATGAATGAAACCCCCCAGAAAGCAGCGCTGCTACTGCCAGGCCGCGGGGGTAGGAAGGGCGTCCTAGGACAGCAGGGCTTCAATGTCTGGCTCGATGTCGATGGTTGGAAAGTGACGGCTGTACCTGCGCACGGGCACACCGTCAGGACCCACCAGGAACTTCTCAAAATTCCACGCAATGTCGTTGCGGCACACCGGAGACCAGATGATGAACTTGGGGTCGGTCATGAGCGCAGTGGCGTCGTCGCTGGGCGCTGGCAGGGCTTCCCGAAGGAAGGCAAAGAGCGGGTGCGCCTTCGCACCATTCACCTCGCACTTCTCGAAGAGAGTGAAATTGGGCTCGAACCCGCCACCGGGTCGGACGTACTTGAGGGAATTCAGGATCTCTTCGTTCTTGGCGTTCTCCTACGGGAGAGAAGAGCAGTAGGATCCCGGGCGCGAGGGGAGGAAAACATTCTAACCACAAACAAGGGAGTTTTTCGATGAGTCACCGAGGGCACAAGCCCAAGGGCAGACCGGAATTCCAGCCGCTAGGAGAGCGGGAAGGGAAGCGAGCCGGTGGTCCGCCTCTCGGCGCACGGGAGCCGCGGCCACCGGGCCGGGCGCACGACCAGCCCGCGCCTGCACGCCCACCCTCGCCCCACCCCGCCTGGCACACCTGATGCCCAAACTGGTTGCACGGGAAGCCCAGCACGACCAGGCCCCGGGGCCCGAGGCGCCGCTGCAGCTCGTTCATCTGGGTGTAGTCCCGGACCGTGGTCCCTCAGAGGGACGCCACATTCTCGATGAGCAGCACCTTGCCCCGCAGGGAGCCCAGGCTCACGGGCTCCCCGCCAGCCAGCGGGCGCGCCGAGAAGGCGTACACCGACTGGGTCGCCGCCGCTAGCCGAGCAGCACACATGGCGAGAGCGTCCGAGAGGCAAGGGAAGAACTTTGGACCAGAGCAGCTAAGAGGCCCCGGCGGTGCCTCCTTTTAACTGCTCCGCGGTAAGGTCACGTGGCTCAGGCACTTTTCCGGACCTGAGGGTCCCGCCTCATCCGGCCTTCTCCCTCCTCGGAGGGCTTGGCCCCTCCTTCAGCCTGGGGACAGGCGGGGGAGTGTGCCAGGGTGGAATGTGGGCTCCGCCCAAACCGGGAGGAGCCGCGGGACACCTCAGGACAGGCACAATTTAGTGTCAGCCAGGCGGTAGCCTTCCTTCCGGGTTAACCCGCCAAGGCCCTGGCCCTTGCTGAGGAGTGGGCCCTGGAATCTTTCCCAAAGCTTCTTCAATTAGGGTGTGGGCTCCAGCGTAGGACACTGGCTGGGGGTAGCCAGGACTCCAGGCCTCAGGTCTCCCAACTCCCTCTGCCCTCAGATTGGCACCGCCCTTAAGTAGGTTTCTTTATTTTTTTTTGAGACAGAGTCTCACTCTGTTGCCTGGGCTAGAGTGCCATGGCGTCTGACTAGCTCACATCAACCCTCCTGCCTCAGCCTCCCAAGTAGCTGGGACTACAGGCATGAACTACCATGCCTGGCTAATTTTTTCTGTATATTAGTTGGCCAATTAATTTCTATTTATAGTAGAGACGGGGTCTCGCTCTTACTCAGGCTGGTTTCAAACTCCTGACCTCGAGCAATCCACCCACCTCGGCCTCCCAGAGTGTTAGGATTACAGGAGTGAGCCACTGGCCCAGCCTTAAGTAGGTTTTCTAACAGCATAGTGTCCAAAAGGCACTGACCCAGTCTCCTGGAGTGGATCCCAGTAGCTCACCGGGGCCAAGGAAACTCAGCTACAGAGAGTGACCCCTCATCTAAACAGGCTGCATTCCCACCACCCAACTCACAACTAGAATGTGGCACAAGAGATGGTTAGTGCTGGGTGAGTGGGGGTTGGGGCCCAAGCTGGTGCGTAGCACCCTGAAGGAACCTTTCCAGGGGGAGCTAGGCCAGGAGGGCTGAGTCCTTCCATTCTCCTGCCCCCAGCCCTGGAGAGAGCAACACAAACACCAGGATACAGAAGTTTAGAAAACTGCCTTTATTCTATTAAGTAGTTGGAAAAATTAACTGGTACAGAAAAAGTTCAGTCAGCTGGAGAAGAGAGAAACCAAATGCCACACATGACAACTGGTGGCTCCTCTGGGAGGAAACCTGGATACAGTGAGGAGAAAGGAGCACTGTGAATTAGAGCCAGATGCTGCAGTCCAGGTCAGACAGATTATGCCACCTCCCAAAGTGTCTAATTGCCTCAGGTGTGAAACCAATTCCTATTAGCCCAGCTCTAGAGAGGGGTACTGGGACATGTGGGGCTGAAAAGGGGTGATATGGCCATCTTTTATCAGAGAAAGTGACAAAACGGGAATTTTAAAAATGAATTTTCCATCTGACTTTATTTCCAAATACACTTTCTTTTTTAAAAAACCAATACACTTTCTTTGGGGATGACAAATCAGTATTAGGAAATCCAATTATACAAAAAATACTACATCTAGTCTGGGGGTAGATATATTTATTTTTGGTAACATACATTAAGTGGCACTAATTACACAGTAACTATAAGGTAACTAACATGAAACCACAGAACTGTAACTCTGCCACAGCTGCATGGACTTGGGCTTTTCTGGCTGAGCACATTTTCAAAAAACTGGATGCTCACCCCAGAGCCAATGAAAATCTGTTAAGGAGTAAAGCTCTGAAGTGGTGACTCACCAGAGTACCTTGCAGCTGACAGATGATAGGCAGGACATGTTAGTTATAAAGTAGTTACAGCCTAATTCACAAAAGTTACCAACTGTTTCTCTTTCTAGAAAGAAGCAAGAAGTTATTAAGAAATTCCTTGAATTAGCGCCTGGTGTGTCAGGTGGGAGTGCAGAAAAGGGGCGTTAGAGCAGTGTCAGAAGGACCCTGGTGGGCCAGGCGGGTTGGACATCATTAATAATCATGGTTGGCTTCTAAATACTGGTAGCAAGATGACTTCTGATTTGTAATCTTAGGTAAATTATAGATAAATGAAAAAGGCTAGTCATCATACACTAAGATTAATAAACAGCACTTCAAAATTAACCGCATAAGGGCTGTGCTTGCAGCAAGGTTTCACAAGACAAGGCACCCAGATTTTTTCTTTCCACGTCTGGCTTGCAGAGCAGCTCTCGTAGCCATTTCAAAAACCTCCCTCACTCCATCTTTGGTCTTTGCTGAACACTCCATGTACCCAAAAGCGCCAATCCTGTTCGCCATATCTCTGCCTTCTTCAGGTTTTACAGGCTCCTAGCAAAGAGAAAAAAGTGTTTTCAGCTGATAGTGTTACATACATATGGAAATAGGTATAGAGTATTCAAATTCAGCTAAAAGACTTCTTTTAAAAGCTGCCAAACTCCCAGATTTGAGCTGTTTTATGAAATTCTTAAAATATGCACTGATTACCTCTCACCCTCAAATATAAAATATCTATTAAACATGATCTTCTTTGGGAAGTAGAGAAAAATAGGAAAGAGGTCAGAGGTACCCTGAAAGGTCAAGGAAAGTATCAAGGGCAAAATTACTCGTGCTACTGATCCAGGGCAAGCTCTTGAGTTTTTGTTAGATTCACAGAGGACTGAATGCTTAAGGAAGGAAATAAAGCCTGTCCCCCTTGACATTTAGAGAAACCTTAGTAAGAGAACTTGGGTTTTAAGTCTCAACAATGAAGACCTCAACACTCCTGCAGTGAGGAAGTCCTGTCATTAGGCCACCTGGCTTTTGAGAAACCAAGATGCCACCTCCCTAGTAACTTTTATAAAGGAATTAGGACTTTCTGTCTGGACTCACTGCCTTCAAGAAGAGATCTTTCAACTGCCACTAATTTATCTTTGGCTTCACATGTACCAAGGTAATAACTGGAGAAAGAAATCAACAATCTGATAGAGTTCCTGTATCTGAAACAATGACTATTGCTGGGATGGTTCCTTGTCAGGCTGGTAGAGTTGTTGGGGACACAGCACTACCTCATAAGAGACATTCCATTTCACAGACCAAGGGGTTTTAAGGATGCTCTGTGCAGATCCCTGTCAGTGAGAGCCAGGTGGACAGAGACAGGCTTTCTAGGCCTCTAAAACCTAGCCTGTGAAGGTTTCTGCTAAGCTCCTCCAACCTTTAATCTTGGGGCCCTGGTTCAAAAATGTGGCAGGGGAAGACACTGCCCTGCCCAAGACCATGCCTGCTTCATCTTGGCTAGCTCCCGCCTTGTGTGCTCATCGTTCCGAAGATCCTTCTTGTTCCCAACCAGGATGATGGGCACATTGGGACAGAAATGCTTGACTTCTGGGGTCCATTTTTCTGGGATGTTTTCTGAAAGAAGAAAAATGCACAGAATTTGGGGATGCACATAATTCTATCTTGAAGAATCTCCAAGAGCACTAGCTAAATTGCAAACACTATTCCTTTGTTGCTTCAGAGGAATGCTATATATTTAATTGAATACCATTAGTTTTTATTTTATTTTTATTGATTTATTTTTTGAGACAAAGTCTCGCTTTGTTGTCCAGGATAGAGTGAGTGCCGTGGCGTCAGCATAGCTCACAGCAACCTCAAACTCCTGGGCTCAGGCAATCCTTCTGCCTCAGCCTCCTGAGTAGCTGGGACTATAGCTATGTGACACCATGCCCGGCTAATTTTTTCTCTATTTTTTTTTAGTTGGCCAATTAATTTCTTTCCATTTATAGTAGAGACGGGGTCTCGCTCTTGCTCAGGCTGGTTTCGAACTCCTGACCTCAAGCAATCCACCAGCCTTGGCCTCCCAGAGTGCTAGAATTACAGGCATAAGCCACCAGGTCCAGACTGAATACCATTAGTTTTAAAACCACAGAGAAAGGCGAACTCTAACTCCCTACCCTTAAACATAGAACCACCAGCTTTTCTCAGTCCCATCAAAAGTGTTCAACTCCTCTGGAAATGGGGCCCAAGTAAGGGCTTTTGGAGGAGCAAAGGATCCAGAATACAGAGTGGCTCTACAATGGCACCACCTGCCCCACCATGCAGGCTCCCTACAGGCCGTCACTGCTGGCAGATGATTCTGATCCTAGATTAGTGAAAGGGTCCCCATTCTGGGGCAGCAACTGGCCAAGGGTCCGTCCACATGTTCTCTTTCTACCTTGCTCATGGGCCTGTGGCATGACCTCCACCCTGTGGGTTACTAGTATTTCAAATAGCTCAAGAGTGACTTTTGAAAATAACCAAAAGATAAGCAGCTATAGGTTCTTGCCAATACTGTACTAATTTAGAAAAGTTGTTAATAGATCATGGTGGAAAAGGGCCCGAATTTAACCTCCCATGCCACCTTGGTCATCTCAGTGTCAGGGATGATTTCTAAAATGGGGATTATAATACTTACCTCACACAGGGTTATTTTAAGTCAATGCCTACAAAGTGCTTAGTATGACAATCATTCAAATGGTACTGTTATTTGAGATGTATTTTGGAAGCAAACTATTCATTCTCTGACTTCAAGACAAATTATCAAAAGGCAGGGATTACTTAGAATATGGAAAGATGCTCTGTCTTCTGGCCAAAAGACTGTATCAGGTAAAGAAGCTGCATGAACAAAGTCAGGAAAATCTCTCATAATTCACCAATCTACTCTTTAGCACTCAAGATGGATACTAAACCCATTCTTTGCTATAGCAGTTACAGGATCAATTATATCACTAATGTGACAACTTGAAACTCAAAGCCTTATTCTGGAATAATGAGGTTCCCAAAGAAGTGGAGTATCCCAGTCTTCAAGGCAATAATAAAGAGAGAAGAGGCCGGGCGCAGTGGCTCACGCCTATAATCCTAGCACTCTGGGAGGCTGATGCAGGAGGATTGCTCAAGGGCAGGAGTTCGAAACCAGCCTGAGCAAGAGCGAGACCTCGTCTCTACTATAAATAGAAAGAAATTAATTGGCCAATTAAAATATATACAAAAAATTAGCCCGGCATGGTGGCGCATGCCTGTAGTCCCAGCTACTCGGGAGGCTGAGGCAGTAAGATTGCCTGAGCCCAGGAGTTTGAAGTTGCTGTGAGCTAGGCTGATGCCACGGCACTCACTCTAGCCTGGGCAAGAAACCGAGACTCTTGTCTCAAACAAAAAAAAAAAAAAAAGAAGAGCCAGCACATCTAACTGTGAAGTTAAACAGCCTCAGCATTGAACCTTGCTCTCACCCTGGCATCCTATAGTCAGTTTTCAGTTCAGCTGCCACAGTGATCCCTTTAAAGGGTGAGATCACATTGGTCCCTCATTCAGACCTTCCAAGAACTACCATCTTACTCATAATGAAAAGAGAGGTACCTGCCAATCACAGAGATCTGCAATCCTCACCCACAACCCCTCTAATAAAGTTGTTCTGATTCCTTTCTTCCTCCTGCCTCAATAACTTTCTGCCTGCCATTTCCCCTGCCTGGAAAAGCTCTTTTGTTAGATATCTGCATGGGCCTCCACCACCTCCTTCAGGTCTCCATTCAAAGGCCACCTGGCCAGGCGCGGTGACTCACGCCTGTAATCCTAGCACTCTGGGAAGCCGAGGCGGGAGGATCCCTCAAGGTCAGGAGTTCAAAACCAGCTTGAGCCATGAGCAAGACCCTGTCTCTACTAAAAAAAAAAAAAAAAAGAAATTAATTGGCCAACTAAAAACATATACAAAAATGAGCGCAATGGTAGCACCTGCCTGTAGTCCCAGCTACTCAGGAGGCTGAGGCAGGAGGGTCACTTTAGCCCAGGAGTTTGAGGTTGCTGTGATCTAGGCTGATACCACAGCAATCCTAGCCCGGGCAAA